GGGCTGCAGCCGGCCCCTGTCCCGGCCCTGCAGGCGGGGCCGCGGAGCAGGACGTGGCCTGCGGGTTCGGCTCTCCAGACCCACTGCCCGGAGCCCACCCCTTCGCCGGCCTGCAGCCTCGACCGTGCCCACAGCCTGCACCTGCTCTAGGTCAGCCACACCCACTGCCAGCTGCCCAGGCGGCGTCTCCTGCCAGCTTTCCTCCTTGAACTTCAGACCTGGCCATGCCAAGTTGTGTTAGCTGGTGTCTCATCCTAACACCTCCAAGTGAGCCCCGTCGCACACTCGCTCACACACTCCCCCGCCCCCCTCAAGTGAGCAGTCAACCTGGCGTCCTTCTCCACTCACCCTCCCCCACCTCCTCTCACCTGGTCGGTTACACCAGCCGCCTCCAGACCCCGGCCGCCGCCCTTACCCCACCCACCCTCCCTGCAGGCCGGGTCCTCTCCTCTGAGAAGGTGCCGCTCCGCTGGCTGCTCAGGCAGTTGCTCCCTGCTCCTCGCTGGCCTCCCCCACCCCAGGCCGGGCCTCACTCAGATTCCCTGCCCCATGGGAGTGAACGTGTTGCACCTATTGATGGGGAGATCTGCATTTGAAGATCTGTAATCTAGTGGTCCCCACCCACTGGATGGGGGACACGAGGCATGAACCCCAGCTGGCCAGGAGAAGGCCCCTCCTGCTCCCTCTGGGGCCTGCAACTTCCACTGCCACCTGCCAGGGTCCATAGCCAAGGGACCCTCAGCCTGTCCCGCCCCAGCCAGCCCTGAGGGGGAGGGAGGGAGCCTTGGGAGAAGGCCCCTCCTGCTCCCTCTGGGGCCTGCAACTTCCACTGCCACCTGCCAGGGTCCATGGCCAAGGGACCCTCAGCCTGTCCCGCCCCAGCCAGCCCTGAGGGGGAGGGAGGGAGCCTTGGGAATGCAGTGGCTCAAGCCCTGACTGTAGGCGGTTTGGGGTGGCTGGAGTCCAAAGCCATGACCTTCAGCTGGCCAGCAACCTGACAGGGGATGGGGTGATGGGGAGGGTCCTGGGAGAGTCCCTGGAGGGAGCAGGTGAAAGGAAGCGAGGCCTTGTGGCCCCCACCACCTTGCTCACCCTCCTCTCATCTCTCCCTGGGACCCCAGCCAACTGGAGAAGGCCGATGGTGGCCCTTGATGGCCCTGCTGCGGTCTTTGATGGGGACGCCCAGCCATCCTAGCAAAGCCAGGCTGCAGCCAGAACAGGAGGTGGGGGGCATCTTCACCGGGCCCTGGCCCTGCTTCTCTGGCTCCCCCCAACCCACCACTCCCAGCCCACTCTTTGTCATCTCCACATGCGCCCTCCCCTGGGGCACAGGCTCCCACCAGCACAGCCTCCCAAACACCCTGATCTGGCTCCAGGCTTTCGGCTGCGGGAGGGTACTCAGCACCGGCTCCCCCAGGCCTCCAGGAGAGCAGAGCTGGCCCTCTAGTGCCCAGCCATGTCACGAGCCTCCTCCCGACCACGAGTCAGGGAGCCTGGGTCCAGCCCTGGCCTAACCCATTCCTCACTGCACCACCTCGGGCAAGTCCCTCCCCTTCCAGGGCCTCAGTCACTCATCTGTAAAATGAAAGGGGGGAATTTTGTATGGATTTTTTCCAGTAACTAGTATGCATTGGAGCCCCCTGGTGCTGGGGATATACACAAGACAGATCCCTCATACCCATGGCCTCCAATGCAGTGGAAAACAAGCCTTGGGGGTCACCGTGAGGCTGGTGGCTCCTGTGACAGGTGTGTGCAAGAGATGCACTACTCAGAAGAAGGGAGGGGCTGCAGAAAGGCTGCCCAGAGGAAGGGGCATTGGAGAGAGGTCTTGAGGGACGAGCAGGAGTTCTTGAGGACAGAAGGAGCAGTGCGTGCAGACCCTACAATGGGAGGGTCTCCTAGCTCAGGCCACAGGAGGCATTTATGGATGGGGTGTCCATCCCGGGCACATAAAGTGCAGCAGTGCACAGAGCTGGGGAGGGGCGGGAGAGCAATCTAGCAGGTCCATGCCTCAGAGAGGCCCATCCTCTAGGAGGCTGGCACCACACACAGGGAGGACTGGGGGTGACCTCTAGGTAAGAATGGCAGGGGGGGCATTGGTGGGGACCAACAGGGCAATTTCTAACCCAGCAGGTCAGTGACCACTTTGCTTCGTGGTGTGGCCTGCTGAAGACCCTGTGCAGGGGTGTCCTTAAGGGAACAGGTTGAGTGGACTCTGTCCTATACTCACCTGTGGTTTGCAGGTCGCCGGCACCTTGCAAGGCTGTGGCAAGGATTCCTGGGGGTGGGGAGAGCGAATAGCGGTTGGCGGGGAGGGGGTGCCTGGCCGTTCCTCCTGGGAGTCGGGACTTTGAGTCCTTCCTGGGTTTGCCTGGGTAAGCCAGCCAGGTCATGCCAGGGCTCTGCGAGGGCCCCCTTGCCCACCTTCCAGCTCAGCTCTCTCTGGCTGGACTCTGGTCTATGATGAGGCATGAGTCCCAAGACCAGAGCCCAGGCTAGGCAAGAGAGATGCTTAGGGCACCACCGTGACCCTGAAGTGAGTGCCTCCTTGAATTTTGCACCTTCCTTGAGACTCACTTATGGCTAAGTTCAAAAACCACCTTTCACCAGAGCTCCAGTCCTGGGCTGGGGTCCAGGTGTCTGTCCTTTTCACTGGAGCACATGGGCATTAAGGCTGTGCTCTGCAGTTGATGCTGGGGGCGGTGAGAGAAGGCCTGAGCCTAGAGCTGGTGGCCAGAAGCTGGGGGACATTGTAAATTACATAAATGTTACATAAAGTTCTGCATGTTCAACTTCTTTTGAGAAAGGGGCAGATCTGGTGATCCTGGACTGGGGCTCCTGAGCAGTGATAATTCGCAGCAAACCATCTTGATCTTGGCCACTTTCGCGGATGGGACACGTGGGCCCCCACCCTCAGCCTGCTCGCTCACTTACCTCCCGGCCCTCTGGCCCCCACGGGCGTCTGTGTGTTGGGGGCCATGGGTCTTGAGGACCTTTCCCTCCTGCACTCATTCTACCATGCAGGGCCCGCAAGCTGAGGTGGCACTGACATGGAAACTTTTCCCTTCTGTGTGGGAGAAAACCACCCATGTGCTTTTAGGGCCCTGCAGGTGGGTGTAGGTTCCCTCCTCTCCTCCGCTGAAGGAGGTGGTCCCAGCTGGGAGAGGATGGGGGTTATGGAAGATTAGTAAGTGGGATACCAAAGCACTGAGGACTGGTGAGCTCTGCCTCAGGGGTTGCCTCCTAGAAGAGTCTTGGAGCACTCGCCAAGGCTAGGAAACCAGCGTTTAGCTAACAACAGTCCTGCTTACATCAACAATGCTGGGCAAACCAATAGCCGAAACTCTGGGGATTTGGAGAGTCCCGTCTCAACCTGAGGTGAAGCAGTCGTATGTTGACTTGTGTGTCTCCAAAAGGTAAGCTGACACCCTAACCCACAGTCCCTGTGAATATAACCTTATTTGGAACGAGGGTCTTTGCAGACGTGATCAAGTTAAGATGAGGTCACACTGGAGAAGAGTGGGCCCTGGTCCAACAACTGGTGTCTTTACAGGATGTCTGTACAGAGACACACAGGGGAGAAGGCTGTGTGGAGACAAGAGGCAGAGACTGCAGCGATGCGGCCACAAGCTGAGACACGCCCAGCAGCTTCAGGAGCCACCAGATGGTGGGAAGAGGTGAGGGGTGACCCTCCCCTGCATCCTGCGACAACTTGATCTGGGACTTCGAGCCTGCAGGACCGTGAGAGAGCCACATTCTGTTGTTTTAATCCGCCCAGTTTGTGGTCATTTGTTACAACAGCTCCAGGACACTAATACAACCCCTTGCCAATAACTCAATTCTGGTTTTTCTAAACTGAAGTTTTAAGTCTATAAACAGCCCGGAGGTGACAACCAAGTCTCGGTGATAGGGCTGTGGGGGCACAGCATCAGAACTCGAGCACAATGGGTAGTCTTCATGAAAAGGAAACACAGGAGGTCATGAACTTAGTGGGTGCCACTTCTTTAGGTGCCAGCATCCCCTCCTGAGGACAGCAGCCCTCAGTTAAATGGACAGGCATTCTTGTGGCAGCAGAGGTGCCAGCTGCCACCTCACTGGTTCTCAGTGGGCTTAGGCTGGCGGGAGCTTTGATGGGGATTGCTGCAGTCACCTGCAGGTTCTGGAGGAGGAAGTAGCTGGGAGGGCCCGGCGTGAACAGGGCAGGGGCAGTCCCAGGTGTGGCCTCTGCTTCCACCAGAGCTGAGGCAGCACAGCACGTGGAAGCAGGAGCTCTCGCCCCACACTTCCCAGTGGCGCAACCTTGGCCGCACCTGGGGAGGGATGCTGGGGGCACCCACCTAGAGGGTGCCGTGAGGCTGGCACGGGTGTGCACCTGAAGTGTTAGCCTGGCACCTGGCCCATGGTAAGTGCCTGGAAGTGATCCCAGGTGATACTGATGACGAGCATCCTTGTCTCCTGAGCTCTGGTTTCCCCAGGAGCCCCAGTGCCCCTGCAGAGAGCTAAGCCAAATGCACCACGAAAGGGGCTTTCCTGCTCTCTGGGGAGGTTGCGGGGGAGGGACAGATGAGACAGCTCGGCTCTTCTCCTGCTGCTGGACAGGAAGGCCCACTCCCCAGCCTGCTCCCATGGGTGACCACCCTGACTGTCTTTTCAAGACCCAGGGAGGAGAGCCCCTCTGGGAGACAGGACACAGTGGGAAGATTGTGGGCTTGGGAGCAGATGGTTCTGGATCTCAGCTCCTCACCTACTCTCTGAGTGACCTTGGATAAATCCCTATCCCTCTAGGAACCTTGGTCTCCTCATGGGACAGTCATGGCCTGGTGGGCAGGAGGATTAAGTGAAGGAGTGTGCCGGTCCAGCATGGTCTGCAGGACAGTGCCCAGGTGTTGGATGAAGGCTCACAAGAGCAGATATCTTGGGAGGGGGAAGGCAGGAGAGAGGGGTCCACCAGCTATCGCAGTTCCCAGGTCACTGATTAGCTTCCCCCCAGGCTTCTAGAGATGAAGTGAACGCTGCCCCTTGGGTGCAGGCGCCAGCAGCTGTCGCTCCTGTGGCCTCAGTTGGGGCTGTCCCCAGCACAAGACCCAGCTCATGAGGTGAGAGGGAGCCATTGTTCTCTGGCCTTGGAGTGCAAGAGAATGTGTCACGAGGCCCGCCCCGTGCCAAGGCCTCCCAGCAGGGCAGCCAGGGACAAGGAAGGGATGTCGTGCACCGACAGACTGGCTGTGACCCCACTGGCTGTCAGGGGAAGGACAGATGGGGTCAGGCCAGTCAGTGAGAGAGGGGGTCCTCTGTAGAGCTAGGCCTATGTTCCAGAGCCAGCAGCGATGAGCAGTCGGCTTTCTCCCCTAAAACCTGCCATCTGATCCTCTGAATTCTGGAAGCCTCAGCCCTCCACCCTACAAAGGAGAACAGCTGCCTCAGGGGGATTCCTGTAGGCCCTGCCTTTGAAGTGCCCCCCATTTCCCAGCTCAGGAGCTGCTGGTTGGCATGGCAGGCCCAGGGGTCCCTCAAAAGCTGGGCAGAAGGAAGGTGCCAGGTGAAAAAGGTGAGGTTGAGGGTCTGAGCCTGTGTTCAGGCCCTGCCTTTGAAGTGCCCCCCATTTCCCAGCTCAGGAGCTGCTGGTTGGCATGGCAGGCCCAGGGGTCCCTCGAAAGCTGGGCAGAAGGAAGGTGCCAGGTGAAAAAGGTGAGGTTGAGGGTCTGAGCCTGTGTTAGTTCCTCGGGCTGCCGCCACAGAGAACCAAGTGGGTAGCTTGAAACAACAGAAAAATGTGTTGTCTCTCAGTTGTGGAGGCTGGAAGTCCAAAATCTTCAGTGTCCTCAGGGCTGGTTCCTTCGGAGGGCTATGAGGGGACGAGCCACTTTCTCCGTGGCTGTCTTCTCCCTGTGTCTTTTTGCATCCTCTTCCCTCTGTGCATATCTGTGTCCAAACTTCCCCTTTTTATAAGGACACAGTCATATTTGATTAGGGGTCTGCCCTACTTGACCAAGACCTCGTCTCAACTAATTACATCTACAATGACTGTATTTCCAAATAAGGTCACATTCTGAGGAACCGGGGCTTAGCACGTCAACATGTCTGTTTTGGGGACACACATCAACACATGACACCCAGCATTCCTTGTTCCTCTCAGTGGCTCTTTCTTTCTCACTTTCTAATGCGTGGGATGTTTCATGACTGTTTTCACTGACTGTCTTCTCCTGCCAGTCTGCAGCTCCGCAAGGGCGGGTTGGGTCTGTTTTGTCTGCTGCGTTCTTCAGGCACCTCATAAGTGCCTAGTGCACAGTTGGCACCCAATGCGTTTTGTAGAATGAATGAACTGATGGAAAGAAAGGGTTAAGTGGAAAACTCTGTGATTCCATGTCCCTGCCAAATAGGAAACCAAAAGCAAAACTTCATCTCCAGAGATGCACAGGGATGGGTGCCACTGTCCTAGACTGGAAAGATGCAGAGGAGAGATACCTCAGTCATTCCAGTTTCACATTTCTTGTCTGTGCAGAAGAGAGAGGGTGACTGACAGTGGGTTATCATGAGTTGAAAGACGTGGCGATTTGACTGCAGCTTCTCTGCCAGATGTGGTGTCCTTCCTGCAGCAGGTCAACAGTTATTATCCAGCTGTTGATCAGGTAACCCCTGTCCTGATAAACAGAGAACACCGGAAGCAGTGTGCTTTCATCCGGAGGGATCAGCGGTATGCTCCGCCATCTGGCCTCAGGGTTGCGTCAACTCTGATACTCTGCTGTGTTTAGTCCACACAGAGTTTGACAGTCTCAGTGGGCCTCAGGGTGTCACGCCATTCCATTACATGGATGGTGTCACGTTGATAGGCCCTGGATATTCTAGGTGCTAAAATAACACGTGTTTGCCAAAGGGATATCTTTCATGACAATTTAGGAACTTGCCACCTAGATGGTGACATTTTGGGGATCCAGTGGTCAGGCAATGTTAAGACATCCCCTGCAAAGTAAAGGGTGAGTTGTTACACCTCGAGTGCCTTCCCACTAGGAAAATGTACACCTTCTGATGGGCATTTCAATCAGACAACTGCCTTTGGCTTCAAGTGACAGAAATTGGAAAGAACAAAGATTTAATGAAGTTTTTTTTTTTTTTTTTGTACCTGTTGTCTACTGAAGATATTTTCAGCTACAATAAGTACAGAGGTAACAAGTTCAGAACTGCTGTGGAGGTTCCAGCATTTCAGCAGGAACCTTTTTCTGTCTTCTCTGCCATCATTACCTGCCTCGTGCTTCAGGTGGGCTGCAAGAGCTCCAGCCACCATTTTCCTGTTATTGTCAGGACGCAGGAGACTGGGCCAGGACTGGGGGAGGGGAGGAAGGACAAAAAGTTTTTCTGGAAGCCAACAGCTCCCACTTACATCTCATTGGCCACTCTGCCTACATGGAAGCTTGGTAAAAGAGTTCTTTGATCTGGTTGTATTGCTCAGCATTCCAATAAGAAGTGGAGAAAGGAAAGAGTGGGGGAGGGAGAGGAAGAGAAGAGGAGGCAGCAGAAGAAGGAGGTGGATATAGACGTGGGCAGGTGACTTCTTGTCTCTGAGCAGTGCTCATTGAGTGTGCAGTTACCTGATTAGCAGGAGGCCCAAGAGTAAATGAGCTTTGAATGTGCCACAGACTGGGAAAAGCTGTAGCCAAGGCTACAGCACAAGCAGTTCTAACACCTGTCGCTTGGGACTCAGCACACCCAGTGGTGCTCAACGTGACGCCGTCTGGAGACTGTGGCAAGCTCTCACAGAAGAACGAGATAGGAGGGCTCCAGGTCTGGGAGCAAAGCCATACCCTCTCAAGAAATAAATGGTTCTTTGAGATGCGAGTGTGGCTTGCCACTGGCTCCAGATCAGCCTTTACATGGGGTGTCACATAACGTGCCATCTGAACTTCCCGTTCTGTACCAGGCACTGCAAAGCCATCAAGTGCGGTGTGCCCAGCAGCTCGCTGTCATCAAGGGGAAAGGGTGAGTCTTGGGCACAGGTAGGTTGCAGGAGCAGGCAGACCACACCCGCAACATGCCTGGTCCTACTGCCCTGATTCCCACCTTTGACCCACACCAAAGGCTGTGTTAACCATTTCTTATGACAAGTTTGATAATGTTGTTATTCCTATTACACCAAAAAGGACACTGAGGCACAGGGACATTAATCAACTTGTCCAAGTCACCCAGCTAGCAACTGGAAGAGACTACTGAGGGGGTGTAGGATTCCTGGTACACAACAGGGCAGGAAGGGATGGGGGTGGAACCTGGGGGACTGCCCGAAGCACCTCCTGAGACAGCCATGTCCAGGGGACAGGTAACAGCAGACTGTAGCAGTCCAAAGCAGGCAGGACCACCCAGGGCTCATATTCCACAGGAACGACAGGTTGGGTCACTGTTAGGTGAAGAGATGTAACCAGCTGAGTGGTCAGCTAAACGCAATGTGAACTTGGGCGAGGACAAGGACAGTCGCCCATCACGGCCACGTGGGCACCTGTGGAAACGAAGACCCTAGCATGAGTCTGTACTTTCTCCCCTCTTCAGATGACATCTATCAAGTGCACTTTCCTCTTCTTTCCTTGCCATGTTATCTCAGGTGGCTGCTGGTGGTCAAGTCTGCAGCACTGCCCTGTGAGTTCACAGACGAGGAGGCTGCAGAGGAGTGACAGTCTCCCAGCACCCTGGCCTTTGGGGAGGGGTGAGCACGAGGGGTGCTCAAGAACGAGGGGTGAGTTGCATTACGGTGGGCAGCAGTGGTGCACAGTGCAGGAAGAACAGTGTTTGTTAGTGCAAAGAAGCACAACAGGGTGGGCTGTGCTGGACAGTTTTACTCTTCACCTTCCTCACGTGTCCTAACTTCCTGGGAATCCCCTCCTCAGGGGACCAGGTCTGCATCTCACTCCGGAAGCCTCTTGGGCAGCTTGAGGCATAGGTGAACGCCCTCAGCTTCCCCCGACAGCACCTCCCCAGCTTTGACCTGGAAGTGGGGACTACACAGCATCCATGCTAGCCGCCGCCGCAGCCTTTCCAGTGGCAGCATTTCCAGCACTAGCGTTCAGGGTATTGGTGTCTGGTACCCAGTGGTGGCAGCGGGCCTGGGGCTCACATATCAGGGAGGAAGAGGCTCAGCTGTGACCAGCAGAAATTCCCACGGGGGCTGCATCGCTCACACATCCAGAACTCTGGACGAAGGCAGCCCAGGGCTGCTGCTCTTTGAAGCCATCCATGTCCCACGTCTCCTCTCTGCCTTCTTTTCAGGCAGTGCCGCCCACTGAGGTGGTCCCACGATAGCTCCCGGCCTCCAGGTGTCATGCCCACGCAGAAGCAGTCCAACTCCAGACACCTCTTCTCCCAGGCGTAACTCCCGGCAGACTTCAGTTTTTTTTTTTTTTTTTTTTTTT